TGGCACAGCACGTGGGGCACGGTTAAGTCCTGGAACCAGATGTACTGAGACTATAGTACACACATCCAAAACTAAAAACTTACCACTTCCTCCTCAACTCGCATTCAAACCATAAGTACAAGAAAATAAACTTTGGTTTACTTAGCAACATATCAATCTCCTACTGTGTGGAGTATTAGCATTGGGTCTGACTGGAAAAGATAATCCACTTTGCAATTTAGTTAAATTACTAATTTTAACAAAGATAAGTCCCCTGTATAATTTTGCAGTGCTTAAAGAATACATCCTTTGAGTATTCCATTCTAAGAAACATCAGCTTGTTATCATATTTTAAGTTTATGGAACATTTGTAACTGCTGTTATATCAGGAAAAATATTAAATCTGCACAATAAGTACAAACTTTATATGAGAAAGTATACTTGTAAGTGCGTGATGATCTCCTGATGTCTGCTGAGGCGCTCACTTCCACAGAAGACACAGACAACTTCTCTGGGGATAAACTCAACTGCCCCAGAAAGTGCAACTCGGTTAAAAAAATAAAAATAAAAGCAACTAACAGAAAAGCAAACAAAAAACCTGTCCGCCCTATTGGCTGTAAAAACAGATGATTACCCACATTCTCAACTAGGAAAGTGGTTGAGAACCTCATCTTCCAAAAAAATGCCATAAAAGCCCATAATACTAACAAGAGAACGTATTACTCCTCCCAAACGTCGTTTAAACTGTGCAGAAACAAATTTTGTTTAGCACTGCCATATACGTGTTGAAGCACATCTCTTTCTCCAGAGGAAAGAGGGTGTTCTGGCTAGTCTAACAGAATCCAAACCACTCAGAATACAAAATAAATGAAAGCCTACTGATTAGGACATCTTAACAATGAATGTCCAAAGAAAGATAAAATCTCTATCCGAAATGAAAGGTATGGTTTATCTGTCTGTCCTCCTCCAATTTTAAAATATTCTGACTGTAAAAAATAGCAGACACCAAGAAGGACGTGCCTATATTTCAATTTAGGCCAGCACAGTCCAACTGGCACCCATCAGCTGAATCTGTAACACAGGATGTCTCCATATGGCCTGCCACCTTTTCCTTGGAGGAGATAGGGAACAGCTGTTTGAGGAGCAAATGCTGCCCCAACAGCCAAACACCTCCTCCTGTGTCCGGCTGGCTCAAAGCCCAGAGCTGTCGCTGTGTTCCTGTGGAAGACAAGGAAAGCAGGGGGGAAGAAGGCAGCAGACCTCCTACCCACGCAAGGACTTGAGCTCTTCATTTGTCTGAGACGGACGGATGCAACCCAGCAAAGCCTGTAGCTGCTTCTGCGATGGAGAGGGGCAGCCACAGGAATGACCCAACGAAGCCCTAGGATCTGCTGTTATTGTCATCATAGTTGGGGGTGGGATATAGGAGAAGTGACACAAAAATCAGGAATTTGGCACCTGTTTGCAAAACGACCTTACAGCACATACGCTAAGTGGTACAGTACAGGCACAGAGTCAACATCAGTTTGATGACAGAAAAAGAGATTAATACAATATTTTGGTCCTCACAGAGATGAAAGGCATAAGTATATTCCATTATGAAGTGCCTATTGATTTATTGATCAAGCAGAATAACTCAGGCGTTGAAATTCAGACAAAGCAAATCTAAATAGCAACTCTATTTTACCTTCGTAACTGCCCACTCAATGGAATTTTAAATCTCTCCTTAAGCTGACACGTATAGCAGACAAGTAAACAAAAGGGAAAGATTTTTATAGGGTTTACAACTGTGCCATCTTTCTTTCACCCATTTTTTTTTTACAGTATCACTGACATCCCTTCTGAAAAAAGCTATTTAATTGGCATGTCAATGAGTATAAATCAGGTAGGAGGGCGAAAACAGAGAACTCTACCTGTTACATGGCCAAAATTGTATTCTGCTTCCAAATACATTTGGTTTTGACTATATATACGTTGAACTCTTCAGAAGCATTAAAATATTCTCTATTATATCGACTTAAAAATAATAAACAACTTTCAAACATTTGCATGGTTTAGAGTGTTTTAAAAGGCAGTATACTTGTCTGCATTCAACTCCAACATTATTTAGCACATGAAAGTTAAATAGTGGTATCTTAAAAACAAGCACAGAGAGCGACCAGACGTTCTACTTCACACTGACCTGGAAAATCATATGCTTATTGGAATAGGATAGATTAGAAACACTACAGAAAAATAACGTAAAAGCAGCATAAGTCATATTGAAAGTATCATCACAACTTCAAAAACTGGTGTCAAAATAAAGCTAGAGATGTGAAATCTCACCTAATGTACCCAATATTGAAGAGTCAAATGTGATACCAGATTTTAAAGATGCTATATTATTTTGAGATCTAGAACTTAATGTGTTAAAGTGTCCTAGCTAAAATGATATTCCAGTGTCCAACAGCTAATAACTGGATTTTAGAATTTCATTCACGCTAAATCAATTAGTCAAATTTTATATGAATAATAAATCAAATTTAGTATTTGATCAAAAGGGATTACAGCCTCCAGGAAATTAAGTTCTCTGTCCAACAGTGCAAACAAACAGATTAAAACATCTTTGGATAGATTACTGCAAGGTTTGTATTCACAATGGGACTACAATAGCACTTTCACAAGCACTGTCCAGATGTCAATACACACTAGTCAAAAAGGGTATGAGAGTGTTCCTGTGGAACGCTGGATACAAACCAGACTACAGATACCATGTAAAAGCATTAATGACTTCTACCAAATAGATTTTGTCCAAAAAAAAAAAAAAAAAAAGGTGTGATTCATGGTGCATCTTCTGCCTTCTTAACAGTAGCTTGACGGAAGGCAAAAGAAGCAGTTGCAAGTATTTGCTCATTAACTTAGCAAAAAAACATAAAACTGAGTCAAAGAAAACTAAATTTACTTGCTAAAATGTTACTTAAACAGGAGACTCTGCTTTCTCCATTTGATTTCATTCTAAAATTCTTAGTTACCAATCTCCTTGTACTGGGGAGCCCACAGCTGGACACAGTACTCCAGATGTGGCCTCACCAGTGCTGAGTAGAGGGAAAGGACCACCTCCCTCGACCTCCTGGCAACACTCCTAATGCAGCCCAAGATGCCAGTAGCCCTTGGTTGGGGCACATCACTGCCTCCTGTTCGGCTTGGCCCCAAAGTATCCATGGGATTATTCCATCCCAGACGCAGGGCTTTGCATTTGTTGTTGAATGTCAACTGTCAGCCCATTTCTCCAATCTGTTAAGGTCTCACTGGATGGCACCTTCCCAGGGATCAAGGTGGGGCTGACAGGCTTGTAGTTCCCTGGTTCCTCTTTCCTGCCTTTCCTGAGGATAGGAGTGGCATTTGCTTTCCTCCAGTTCTCAGGCACCTCTCCCTAACATCATGATCATTCCAAGACTGCCAAGGTACTTCACAGTAACATCAGCCACCTCCTTCAGCACTTATGGGATGCACCCACAAAGGCCCATAGACTTGTGTATGTTTGGTTTGCTTAAGTATTTCCTGACCTGATTCTCTTCCACCAAGGGTACATCTTCCTTGCTCCAGCCTTTCCTCCTGGTGTCTGGGACCTGGGATTCCTCAAAGCCGATCTTGCTAGTAAAGACTGAAACAAAGGCAGCATTCAATACCTCAGCATGTTCCATGCCAGCAGGTCCCCTGCCTCATTCAGCAGCAGGCCTACATTTTCCTCAATCTTCCTTTTGTCACCTATGTGCTTAGAGAAGCCCTTTTGGTTGCCTTTGACATCCCTTGCCAAGTTCAAATCCTGCTGGGCTTTAGTTTTCCTAGCCTCATCCCTGGATGATTGGACAATGTCTCTGTATTCCTGCCAGGTTACCTGTTCCTGCTTTCACCCTCTGGATGCTTCATTTTGTGTTTGAGTGTTGCCAGGAGCTCCTTGTTCATCCATGCAGGCCTCCTGGTATTTTTGCCTGACTTTCTGCTCATTGGGATGGACTGCTCTTGAACGTGGAGGAGGTGATCCTTGAATATTAACTGTATTTTCTTTCTTGGGTCCCTCTTTCCTCCAGAGTCTTATTCCATGGGACTCTTCTAAATGCCACTCCCTGAAGTCCAGCACTGTGACCTTGCTTTTTGCTCTGCTCCCTCCTCGCAGCATCCTGAAACTCCACCATCTCACAGTCACTGAAACCAAGGCTGTCTTTGACCTTCACATGCCCAACAAACTCTTCCTTGTTTGTAAGTATGAGGTCCACAAATGCAAATAGCACCTGTCCTTGTAGGTTCCTCTATTGCTTGGGTCAGGAATGCTCTCCACAAACCTCCTGGATTGCTTACGCCCTGATGAGCTGTCCCTTTAACAGATACTAGGGTGGTTGAAGTCCCCCATGAAGACCAGGGACTACAAACATGAGGCTATTTCTAGTTGTCTGTATAAGGCCTCATCCACTCCCTCCTTCCTCCTGATGAGGCAGCCCATAGCAGATGCCCACTACAATGTGACCCATATTGTGGTTTTGGTGCTTTTTGGTTGGTTTGGGTTTTTTTGTTTTGTTTTTTCCCTTCTCACGAACAGCTAGCTTGCTGATACCCTTCAGAAAAATCTGCAGTCCCCAACTGGTCCAGAGACTACAGGCTGAAAACACTGTCTAAATCAATGCCAAACTGCCATCCTGGACAGTCCTGCAAAACTGATCCTTTTTCCAGCGCATGAGAGGCAGCAACATACAAGTATTACTTACACAGAGAGCTACTGAAAGCATATAGCTGGCAACTGTGGCAAAAGCTATGGCTAGCTGATGGGCTCTGCTAGTTTCAGATCCACCAGTTAAGAGATTTTAAAAGTTCACTAAAACTATCATAAAATTGTCTTTTAGTAAGGCAGCTAATAACAGCCTTTACTATATCTGGGGAAGAGATACAACACTGCTTCAGACCTATAGTGTGTAACACAAATAGAGTTCGGGCACTTGTATTTTATCTAAGAGTATGCCTTGTCCTGATGTCTTATTTTGATTTACAAAAACTCCTCTGTAGTAAACTACAAACAGGCTCTCGGATGCAACTGAAAGTCAAACACAAAGACCACTGCACAGAGTCTTTTAAAAGGTTCAAATCTGGTTGTATTTTCTTTAGGAATATGATCTCATCATGAATGTCTGTAACCTATATGGCTCCCTCTTGTGCTTGTTATACCACATTTCAATGTACAAAAAAAAAAAATTAATATTAAGCCATAAATATTTGGGCTCTGTTCACCCTTCAGTAGGCATGCAATGCCTGTAAATGTTAATGGAAGTCACATGCATACCTTCCAGGGGAAAAGAAAACCCTGCAGTTTACAAAATTTCTCTTTGGAACAAACTACAAAAATATTTTGCAAACTACAAGTCTGCTGCGATGAAAGTACTTTTTTGAACGTTTGCTGTATTTTGATAGCAATGCAGAGGCCAAATATGCCTTTAAAGTACATTTGTAAGAACTTTTAATTCTTTTTTTAGTTATCAAATTACATATGTTTAGAAAGGTGTCAGTGTGGTTTATAGAGCCTGGCTAACATGCTCAAGGGTTTATTTTTGTCTACTCAACATCCCACCTGTTTCTGCTTATCAAACCAGACTACAGTTTAGCTTGCAACAGCTGTGAAATGCATAAATCTGCCCATTCTTCATAAGCATCCAGAGTAGAGCACTTGGAAAAAGTTAGAACTGCAGCATTCTGAGAAACCCGCTCTTACGGAGAAGCTAGGGAAATAAAACAGACCAGCACTTGTCAAACAATGTTTAAAACTGCACGCTTATCAGAAGCCAAATTATTTTAATAACAGTCTATGAATCCTATTTAGAAAGAAAATGAAGCATTTGAAGAAATGATTTGTTAACCCTTTTATTCCTGCAGCCATTTAGAAACATTTTGCAAGCTAAAAATGCTGCAAAAGAGTTAAAATATTTTGCCTGCACAAAATATTCCTTTTCAGTGTCTTCAAATATCAAAACACCTTTTATTTCAAGATGCTATTAGTTTTACTTTCTGCAGTAGAATAGCTATCTAGAAAGTAAATATTAGTTATAAGATTTTTGTATTACAGAAAGTGTGTTTCTGACTTTTAAAAAAAATTATTCTGCATACCTGAAGCAATTTCCAAATCCCGGTCACGCAGGACAGCTTTCATTAAAATGCTTAAGCTAAAGCAGTAGCAGCACTGAATGAAATGACAGTATACAAAAATCTAACATTCACTTTCACAAAGCTTGCAGAGTACGCTGCCGTTAATAGGAAAGTGATTTTGCTTTGCTTTTTTTCATTTATATGAATTTTTCTCTCACTACGTCTTCTTCCCTTTTTGCACATGCTCACGAATTTCCTAAAACATTACCCTCACCATTAGTATTTTGTGTGTCAACTTTGTTCATAAAATGATATGAGTGCATGGAAGATGACACTAAAATTCATTTCAGCTTTTCTGAATAATGAAAAATGGTACTTTGTTTTACGGAGTGAAGAGGCTTTTTTTTGCCTATGAACTTTATTCCTCCACCATTTCATAAATTACAAGCTTTTACTTTTGAAAGCAGAAACAGAAATCAAGAAGTTTTAAATTTTTTCCATGAGTTTTCATAAAAAACGTTAATAATAGGTACTCAGTACATTCACTTGGCACTCCTGGAGCCAGGTGAAATTACGTATCTTCCTAATGTGACATTTATGGAACACTAGTAAAGAAACATTCAGCTGTAATTGTGGTTACCTGGCAGTGCTGAAGCTTGGCACCAAACCACCAGAACACACCTAAAATTTACCTAATATTTATTATCACTCATTCTCCAAAGAACAAGTAAATAAAGCAAATGATTCCCACCTGATCTACCTTCATGCTCATGTTCAACACGAAACAACAGCTTTATTATACAAGAACATAAAACAAGCTTAAAAACATTTGTCAAGAGGATAAAAAAAAAATCTGGTCTAGGTTTCTGACCACAAGTGACCAGAATCTACATGTTAATGATTCATACAAAAGGCAACAGTACAGTACTAGACACTTTCTTGTGTATACTAATATAAAGCTCTAAGAGAACATCACCATTTATTTAAACGCTATTTCCACAAAGGTTTCCTATTGCTGCTGATCAAACCAAACTAAATTAGTGTCAACGATATCAGACCAAGAAGTCTTCCTCCACGAGCTGCCATACCAGCTTCCATAGAATTGCAGATATAAAACAGAAGATAACAGTGCAGAGTATTAAAGGCTTGTTACCATGTACAGCACATCACCATCACTGGGGTTCTAAAGACAGTCTGCCCCTAAAGTCATCTCATACATTATCTTCTTTGCTCAAATAGTAGCTTTTCTTACTCTGAACAGTCAACAGCATTGACTTTGATACAAAATATAAATTATTTTTAGTGAGACATTACTACTTTGACCACGTTAGCTTAAATGCTATACAAATGATCTTTCATTAGCTTTAAGAGACAATAACAGAAAGTGTGTATTTGCCATCCTTAAACAGATTATGTGCCACATGAAACTTCCATAAACAAAAAATGTTTTGTCAAACATTTAAACTGCTTTTCACATAATACATATCTCATGCTTCAACTGTTGTTACACCACCACATTTTATATACATCCTGCAGTTGTGCTTGCACCACTAATATCAGTCTACATGCATCAATCAACCACCGAGAAGCAGTTCTGAAATACTGGACACACGGCAGTCAAAATCCAGGGTGTCATTCCAGATCTCGTTTCTCTGTAAAACTGTATTTCAGGTTGTTTTTTTTTTAAGTTAATGTTGTGACCACATAACCTCTCACATAATACTACCAGTGCAGGATTAGTCAGTGAAAATGATGAAACTAGTCACAGTGATAATTTAGCTATCTGATTAAGTATTCCAAGAGCATGAACAGCAGTTGGAAGAACAGGATAACATTACACAATATTCTGCTAATAACTCTTTAAATAGAACTATTTAGGGGTAGAAAGATATTCCAAAGAAATAAAATTTAGGAGTTCATACTTCAGAAAAAAGTGAAGAGCTGGAGGGCCAAGTGCAGACTGGCAGCCTAGAATAGCACACAGCAAGAAAAGAGTTGGCTAAACTATTGTTTCCTGAATTGTGACACCTGGAAGGAAGGATTTTGTTCCTTCCTGATATTAAAGACATTGTTCCTGCCCTACTTTTTGCCTCAAACTGAAGAGCATCTTATTTGGTTTTCGCCAACTATTTTCAATGACTTTAGTTTTCAAAATGTATCCCTCTGCTCCTCACACTTGGTAAGTCGATATTGTGTTTGAAACATAGGAAGTTCTTTAAACACCAAACAGCTAAGCAAAATAATTTAACTTTTGTTAACTTAAAACAGTTCACAGAAAAGCTTTAGAACTATGATAACATTAAAGGAGAATTCAATTGCTTTACGTCTTCTGACCTCTCCTATGGCTGAAAAACATTTCTAGATCACACAATTGTGGAAATTCAGTACATAGTCATATGCTTTTTTTACACAGATAGTATCACAAAAAAAGGTTTGGATGTTTGGACATTGAGCACCACCTTGACAACAACACATCATCATTCACTCACAACATCAATATGTCTAGACATCAGTCAGAGGAATAGTTCTATCTTAGAAACTTAATTGAAATCATTACTTCAGAACGTGATGAATAGTTCACCCATCTCAGCCTCCCCTACTCAAATTGTTACCAGATGGGTTTGTCTTTATTTGAAAGCAATCCAAATGATTATGTTAAATAGAATAGAAAACAACAGTTAATCCATAGTCACTGGAAATAAAACATATACAATGTTTTTCTATGTCAATTAACAAATATAATTTTACTTTGTTTACTGCAAACTATACATTTTTGAAAGAGTCATAGAGACATAGGTTGCAGATCTCTGCAGGTCACCTAGCCCAAATTCCCACCGGTAAGCTTCTGGAGCCTGGCTACCAGTAGCAAGTTGAAAATAATAATTGGATCATCCCTATCTCTTTTTCCCCAAAATAAATAAATCCAGCTCCCTCAGTCTCTCATTGTATGGATAAAAGGCTGAAGCAAATGACATCTTAATAGCCCTCCTCTGATCTCATTCCAGTTTGTCAACATGTCTTGTACTGGTAGGTCCAAAACTGTACAGTATTCCAGACGAAACTCACCCGATGCCAAAAAAAGGGGCGGTAATCACTCCTCCCAACCAACTAAACACATTCTTATATATTCATAAACCTACTGAACGGTGAAATTTTACTGGCAGTTCAAAAAACAGCAGGAAATTGCCCTAATGATTCAAATTTTAAGAGCAATACACTTGCTCTATTATTTAGCATCACTGTTTTCACATCTTCCTCAATAACCATCATAAGAACAACATATAATATATACTACATTTAAGATGCTTACCTGAATAACTTTGTAGAAATAGGCATACTGTCGAGCTGTATTTTTATATTGGCTAAAGACATCATGTATGGCCTGAGTTGACTGAAGATACTGCACTTCATCTTCTTCAAAATAGAGAGGAGTGTCATATTCACTGGGGAGCGTCTGGATGTAGGGCAGCCAGAAAGAGTTGGGGTTGGCTCGCTCACAAAGAAGATGAAATGCCAATGTTATATTGCCCATGGCCTGAAGAATTCGATCTTGAGAATACAGGGATCCTGAATTAACCCAGAAAGGTGAGAGGCACTAAGTTAGTTGTCCATGGAAAATATCATCTTAGATTTACTGTAAATGAACATAGTGAGATAACACACAAGAATTTCCAACAAAAAAAAAAGCTTTTCAGGTTTCTAAAATATTTAGCTGCCCACACTGTATTATGCGGCAACTTACTTGACACAGTAAATGCCTCATGTAGAATTGCATGAAGGAAGACATGAAGAAACTATAGAACAAGTGTTACACGAGCTACATGATACGTGTTCAAAATAACACACACACTTCTGGAAGGTATCTAGTGCACTCAGCCAGAAATAAAGAGGAAAATTAAATTCTTTCCACTGACACTTCAAGCTTCTAAGTATTCCAAACCGGACGGTTGGCATGATAAGCAAGTCCTGTACTAAAGGAGATCAGCTAAAAAAAAAAAAAAACAACAAAAAACAACAAAAAAAACCCAGAGTCTTCTATTGAATGATCCCATACATATCAACTTCTTGCTTAAGAACTTCCTTAAGCTCTTACCTAATACTGAATTTTTAGCTGACTCAACTGTCATCAACAGTTTTCGAGGAACCCACAAAAACAACTCTTCAGCCTACAGAAAGGGAAAAAAATGCATAGAATTAGTTAGCATTTATATATGACATGACAAGTGTCCCAAATATACATCAGCTTTAAATTATAGGTTTTGTGTTTTGTTTGGTTTGTTTTTTTTTTTTTTAATCAATATTGTTCTGAACAAAAATACTTCCTTCTCTTCCATTGCAAATTAAACAAACATGCTATGTTTCATATTGTGGTAACCAAATATTTCAGTCTGCACTACACAAAGCTTAAAACAAAGGCACTTAGATTACAAAATCAAGTGCTTCAGTCTGGAAGTGCTAACATGTCAAGGCCAGGCTGGATGAGGCTTTGAGCAACCTGGTGCAGGGGAGGGTTTCCCTGCCCACAGCAGGGGGGTTGGAACTAGATGATCTTAGAGGTCCCTTCCAATCCAAACCATTCTGTGATTCTATGTCGATTGTCCACACAACCTCAAAGCTACCAATACATTATATTGCTCTTAACTACATGATCAAATATTTTCTCCCAGTTGAGGTTTTTTCGCATTGCCCATTCTTATTCTAGAAGAACTCTTCAGGATTTTTATCAACTAGCAGTGCTAGCCTTATTAACTATGTGCTACTAAAATCCTAAAATTAATATAATATGCTAGTTTTCTAATATTCTTTCTACAATAGCTGATTGTTCTTCAAAGCTGTTTCCCATCTGTATAAGTGGGAATGAAAAGAGGCAATCTTAAATGCTTATATTTTAACAGTTAGCTAACTGTGTGTGTCTATATTCCTTACCTGATGATCAAAAGATATTCTTTACAATTATCAGGTAATTCTCTTGTTTTTTCCATTTTCACTGGAAAATAAGTATTGCAACTACCTCTTTCTGAGGCAAAAAGACCAGTGCTTTAAAAGAAGGGACAGGAAATAAGAGGAGAAGAGACTAAGTAGTTAGAAAACATGGAAGAAAGGGATACATCAATAGGGTAGAGTACTCTGGTGATTAGGTAAACAGTATAGCCACAAAGGGAAAAAAAGACTGATTAAAAATTAAAATTCACAGTACTATCCAATACTCATCAAAAATAATACTCAATTTTATCAATGATTTTATTTCTTAAGTACACAGAGTTGAGAGCATTTCAGAACAGCAGTTTCATAAGCAGTCGAAAGGGGAAAGGGAAGGTGTTGGAGAGTTTCAGAGCTCTGCAGCTACATTTCAAACACAATTTTCTAATCCAAGTCAAATGTTTACGTGCTCACCTTTATCTCTCTTGTTGCTTTCAAACCAAACCCCTCCTCTTCAAAGTTAGCTATTTCAAAACCCTCTGTGGATGCTCCATTTTCAGTTGCCCACTTTATCAGTTCAGGGAAATAGTCATCTCTTTTTCCATCAAAGACAATAGACAAACCTATACACATAATTTATTAAAAAACAAATGCAGCAATAAGAGGATCTAGAAAGATAAAGAAGTTCAATATAAAAGCACACGTAAAGCTATCTGCTATCCCACAGCAGTTCTACTTTGAAGCATCTGAGTCAGAACTGGTCTTTGTTAAGCGTTACTCAATAGTATACAAATGTCACACTCAATTTTCATCAACTTAAATATTCTGCCAAATTGGTTTACCAGTCACCTTAAAAACACCCACACTGAGATGTGATGAAATTTGAAGCTCCTCTCCTCTTTCCCTTTTAAATAGGATGAGAGAAAATATTGCCCAGCTTAATGCTGATGATAAATGCAATCACCACAACATGCTAATACAGACACATGGAGGAATTTCAGAGGTAAGCTGCAATTTCATTAATTCAGCACGGGGAATGATGATAAGCAGATCTCAAGCTCCTTCTCTCACATACAAGGCAGTTAGCTTTATCCTGTAGCATACAGATCTGCTAAAATAATGAAGGTCTGATATCCTCCTCATATCACAGAGCTCATCCAAATTTTTACACTTTACTTCTTCAGCAGGTACATGGTCCACCAGTGAAATCGGAAGCCTCATTCATTTCTTCAGCTTTCCCCTTTATCATCATCTGATTTGAACCTATGCACTATAGTTCCCAGCTATACTCAGCCAGCTCCTTTTGCACCTCTGCCTATGTGTTCTCTTCAACCCAAACTCTGGTGTCAGATCACATTAAGTGTCCAAATGCCCCTGAAATGCTCAGGCCATTTTATGAGTAACAAAATGTCATCAGCAAATTGCTTACATCCAAAGGTATTCTGGTTAAGCACAGGTGATAAATATACCTTTAGATGAAAACAATTTTAGGAAAGTAGCATTAGCTTATTTGAAATATTTCCCCCTCCAAATCATGCAGTTCAAGCCCCAGAACCAATCAAATCTACCAATAAAAGCGCAAGTATCATCTAAAACTATAGTCTTTGATGATGGAGCAGAAAAAAATCAATATTGATAAAGTATTTTTGGAATGCAATGAAAATGTGGTGCACAATGGTTTGGCTTTTTTCTTTTTTTTTAAAGCTGGCATTCTCCTTTATTTCATAATCCTTCCAGTATGCTACTTTCTGTGGAATACATTCAGAGCTAAGGCCTCACAAATCTTTTAAGACTAGTTGCATAGCTTCTACAGAACTTGATAGGTGTATACACTGTCCAAGACTTTGCTCTTTTGATTTCCAACATTAAATACTGTATAAAGCTACTGAAAGCTTTTAACATCCAGCTTGTATTTGGAATCATTCTGTAAGCCTCTCCGAAAATCTACCTCTGTTCCTCATATATGATATAGTCCAATACTTCTCACATTTTTCCTAATTAAAGAGCAGCTCCTTTAAATTACAAGCACTATTAGGGAATAATTTATTTCTATACTGAATGAAATATAGCTATACTGATGAAAATCTATATGGAAAAATTAGCTTTATTTAAAATTTTGCTAATGAGTGAAACAAGGAAAAATTTTAGAAAGTAAAAATACTCAGTTTTCAAATCAAGAATTTTCTATAATCAAGATCATTTTGGTTCATGTTCTGCAACCCAGTGTTCTAGTCAAGAAAAGCACAAAGTATGACACTTCAGCCTATATATATTCATTTGTACATCTCAGTTCCCAACTGCAATTTATACTTCCTTTGCTAATTGTTTAAAGCTTTTCTTAAGCTAGAAAACCGTGCAGTATAAACTACTACGTTCCATTAAAAAATAGTTGTGAAAGACATAATCCCATTCATACTCACGATGCATGCAAAAATGTTACATTAAAAGACATCTGTACGTCAACAGCGCTGTGGTTAGTAGGTTTTGCTTATTTCAAGGAAAAAATATGCTCTATCAAACTAGTAGTGTGACGCTAATTCTACCACCTCTGCCAGCAGCCATTCTCTCCATGGATGGTTTGATCTTCCTGGCGCAGAAAGATACAGCGAACAAACCAACTCCAATGCTAACTCTGTTCTTGCTAATCTGAATTATATTTTGTCAGAGCACATGTACTACATCATAAAAGCCTGGACATGTACAATAAATTTTTAGAAGTCATGGGAAACAAATGACAAACAATCAATCAAGTTCATCTCTACACAGCTACAGGATGCAGACACTCAAACAGTATCATTTATTCTTCCATGTGCCATCTGTCAATAAATGATGTTCAGAGGTTTAAAAATCCTTTCATGAAGTAAGATTTTTATGCATTAGTCAAAAGATATTAAAAACACGTGTGAAAAGGACATTCAAGCCTCTAATTGGTTTATCAAGCAAGGACGTGAATAACTTAAGCTCCAATTTAAATGCAGTCTGGCTCTTTTGCCATCGCGCTGTATAAATACCAGAGAAGAAAGAATTGTTTCAGGACTTTTTCAGGTATGTCCAGCACAAATCTATTCATTCCAAGGTTAAAGAGTTATTTCTCAGTCATAAAGAGGTTAATTTTACTGAAACTACATGAAAAGCATTTTTTTAGAGCATACCTCCAAACAAAACCAAAACTAATATGAAAATAAAGTTTCATCAACAGTGAGTTGTTGCAGAACATACTGGAATAAAACTGTTCTAGTCTGAAAAATAAACATACCTTAAGCTTCGGAAAATTGGCAATAAACCTCCATATTAACTGTGGTACCATAACTGTTTCTTTGTTTTAATTATGTGCTTGATTTATAGCAGATAAGATTTATTAGCTGATGTATTTATTTTATGCATTTACATATTTTTATTTCATTAAAATTTAATTTCATGATGTTGAATTGCTGAAACAGTTTCCACATGCAGTAAAGTATCCATATTAAAATAAAATAGTTACAAAATTAAATTCAAAATGTTCAGATTTATAGAGGCAGAGGGGCAGACTATGCAATTAGGAATCAAAAAGGCCTATTATTCTCAAAGGACTTTTGCTTCTAGTCTTTCAGATTGTCATCTCATCACAATCTCAAGCTCCATTTTCTACTTATTGGACAGAATTATCAAAGGATCTCCTGTCTATGATATTCACTCAGAATTCTAGGTGTTAAAATGGTTAATGCCAGTGGCCATGCCCATCAGAACATTTCAGGAACACTTGCAGGTGTAAAAAGCAACTGCATGTCAGAGAACTAAGATTTTTGTCACAAAATAACAGGATTGCATAATATTTATATAATAACAACAGCAAAAAAATATTCATTTTAGCTCTTAACAGACAATTCTTCAGGCAAATCAATACTTATCTTACAGTCTTTCACAAGTACCTTTTTGCTTTTTGCGAATTTTCTCAACAAGTGAACGAATCTGTATATATTCTTCCCATTCCTTACCAGGACCTGGGGTAGGACTGCTGCATTCTGGAAATAAAAACACCGAATAAAATGTGTGTGTTTGGTTTTTTTTAAATAAAAGTATATATATAATTTTAACATCAGAGAAAATATCATTGTTTCACAGCAACTTTAACTGAACTTTAGTACTACATGTCCTTCAAACACATTTACATGGTAAATGTGATAATCTCCATTGTTAAAAACATCCCATTCTTTGACATGTAATTAATAGAGACTTTTGAAATTTTCACAGTATAACTTACCTCAAGGTTGGGTTTTTTTTGGTTTTGGTTTGGTTCCTCCCCCTCCTCCCCCAATTTCAGAGATAGGAAATATCAAACATTTAAAAAGTTAGGAAGAAAAAAAGCTAAACAACCAGACCATTAAGTAGTCTCTCAGATAAGACAAACAAAAAAATAGTATGTTTTCAATAATCTAAGCAAAACACTCTGTTCACATTAGCCTGCCTGCCATCATTCTTCTTGTAATGAAATGAATGGTTGGACTCGATCTTGAAGGTCTCTTCCAACCAGAAGATTCTATGAAAGTAGATAATAGTAAGGAGCTCACTTTAAGTAACTGAGAAATTTGCTGGTACATACAGTTGACCTGCCTACTCAAGACTGTTTTCATAGATGCATGCATACTGGAAGGACAAGCAAAGGAACACTTAGCCAAGCTTTGGAATCATAGATACTGTGGATATAATCTATCTCTGATAATATTCTAAATGTCAGTGTGTGGATTTCTTGATCTAAGATAATAAATCCAAGTGGACAGCTGAAGATTACCTTGCTCAACTGATTTGAGAAATCTTTGCATTGAATAAAATATGGAAGCTTGACAAAAAGAACAGCTGATACTTGTCTTTGCTTAGAAAATTAGATCTACGTTTTATTTTTGGTAGCAAAGCAGAGGCCAATCGTAACATAAGTATCAAACTGCTCTGCCAACTCCTTTTCTTCTTTTTGTGAGCAACAAAGAGAAGAATTAGAAAAATTCTAATTTTTCTAAGGCAACATGTAGATGTGTCCAGGGTATGAAAATTTGGACTTGTGTTTCAACAAGAAGTACAGCTCAGCACAGTGACTAAAGACTGTAGAGAGAGTGAATAGTATTTTAGCACCGTCATATGAAATTATGTTCTGCTTTTCATATTTACTAGAAATAATGGATGAGTTCCAAGTTCCTCAACAAGTGAAACAACCTTTGGTCGATACACAGAACTAAGCACTACAACAAGTTTCCAAATAGCAACAAAAAATTTTTATTTAAGCAACAAAAATATCAGTGCAATTGAACCGAGTTGCATTGCTGCTTTCCACAGTTAATTTCTCTACTCTCGCCACAGTTTAAAGTACTGTTCAAAGGATAAACAGAAACAACACAATTCTTGAGGTTTATAAGAAAAACATTTTTGATAAAGCTGCAATGTCAAGCCCTCTAGAGGAGGGTTTTTTTAACCTAATGTCCCCTGGTATTTATGCTTATATTGAGATGTAAAGTCAAAAGCTGCCGGGAATGTTGTATGTCCAATACATACACACATAAATCAGTCAATAATGGTATATACTAACAGAGGTAGATACTCTGAGGTACATACCGTACTATCTTAAGCAGGCTGAAATAGCAAGCTTGGCCACTTACAGGAAATGAACAGAATTCACTGGCTTCAATAAAAGAACGGTTTTGAGTGGTCTGCACACCATCCTTTTTCCAGAGAGGCATAAAACCAAAACTTACTTTGCAATAAGTCACTAATTAAATTCAACATTTCCTTTGGAGATACTGTTGCTGTGGCTCCTGTACCCGACTTCTGAGTTTTCACTCGGCTCTTCTTCCCCATCTTCCAACTAAAACAGATTAAGAAGCAAACTGTCACTAAGAAGCAAAATACAATCATGATGAATGGACAAGATCTTCTCTTATTAGACACTTAAAAAAAAGGAAAAAGAGAGGATGAGGAGTTGTTTCTGGCACATATATATGTGCAAGTATTATTCACATGTCTTTAATGTAAGACAACCATACAGTGCAATCTGAAGCAGTATTCCACGTAATTGCACATCGATTACCTCAGGGTAATTAGAAACTAGAAACCTTGGAGAGGAAAAAAAAATAACTCAGATCACTTGCAAATTCAGTAGTTGTGAACAAATATTATGGATATCAAAGTATTCACACTATATAAATTCAGGTTATTTTACCTCATCACCTGTACTGTGGACATCAGCTGAATTAGCGTTTGTAACTGCACTGAAGTAGTAATTAGAAATGAATAGAAAATCAGTATTCCATTTCAAAATAAAAATCAAAATATCTTACTTATATCTTTACAGCAGCTTCTTGTGGTTCATGACAACTAGTTAACAAAAATTTATTTTCAGTTACCACAATAAATGCAGCATTATGCTAGACTGGTTTTCCAATATTCAGAGCCCCTTGCTCTCATGGAGGACTTAAATCACACATCATCTATCGGAAGGGCAGCATAGCAGGGCGTGAAGTATCCAGAGAATTTCTCACATGCACTGGGAACAATTTTTGACGCTGGTGCTGAACAGTTTCCTAAGGGAGGGGTTGTGCAGGATCTGGTACTGATGAATCAGGAAGAACTGCTCATATGACAGCAAACAGTAGCCTTGGATGCAGTGATGGTGAAATGGAAGTGTAAGATCTTAAGGAAAGAAAGGAAGGAAAGCAGCAGATTAAAGACTCTGGAATCACAACAGTAGAGTTGGGGCTTGCTCAGAGAATAGTAAGCAGAACATCCTGGGAAGCTAAAACAGAGCCCATGACAGCAAGTCATCTTCCTGAACTCTCTCCTCGGAGCCCAAAAACAAGCCTCCCCAACATGCAAGAAAACCAGCAGGCACAGCAGGAGGTCAAGCTGACTGTACATGGGACTCCTCACTGACTGAGTTCAAGCAAAACAAACGTATGTAAGATGGAAGCAGGAACAGCCAGCTGGAGGAGAATATAGATGCGCTATCTGGGCAAGCAGAGACTGAAACAGGGAGGCCTAAGCTTGTCTGGAGTTGATATTGAAGAGGGATGTAAAAGGCAAGAAGAAACGCTTCTACAGGTACACCACGAGCAAAAGTCACATTGAGGAAAGTGTAATTCAGCTGCTAAACCAGGAAGCAACCTGATGATGAAAGGTACACAAAAACTGAGGTACCCAACACCTGAGGCATGGTCTTTACTAGCAAGGTCTGCTATCAGGCTTCCCAGGTTTTTGCATCTAGTGGCAAAGCTTGAGGGAGAGAAGCTATGAAGTTAAGACTATTTAGGTAAGCTGGACCTACACAAGTACAAAGGACCAAAGGGTAGTCAGCCACTGGAATAGGCTGCCCAGGGACGTGGTTGAGTCCCCATCCCTGGATGTGTTTAAGAATAGGGTGGATGATCTACTTAGGGATATGGTTTAATGGGGGTTAGGGACGGTTGGACTCGATGATCTCTAAGGTCTTTTCCAACCTAGAAATCTATGAAATCTATGACCAGACGGGAAACATCCAAGGTACTGAGAAAGCTATTTGATGTCACCGGAAGGCTACTGGCTATCATCTTTGAAAATTCATGGTGATTGCCTATGACAAGAAATAGGTAACTTAAGAACAAACAAAGAAAACCCAAGAAAAAAGCAAGGTGGAGGCAGGAGAGGACAGAGGATCCAGGGAACTAGACAGTAGTCAGTCTCATCTCACTTGCTGTAAAACACAGAGCAAGTCTTAAAGGAAAGCTATTTCCAGGCATGATGGACATTAATATGACTGGGACCAGACAACAGACTTCTAAAGGCACATCGTGTACAACTAACCAACCAGACTGCCTTCTGAAGAAATAAGTGGCTCTGTGGACCAGTGAGAATTAGCAGTTGCCAGTGGCTTTGACTTCAGCAAGGCTTTTAATACTATCTTCCACGGCATCCTGGTTGTCAAACTGAGGAGACATGGACCTAATAGGTGGACAGGGTGGACAAAATATTCCTTGGACTATGAGGTTCAAAGAATTGTGGTCAATAACTGGAAGTCTAACTGCAAACTGGTTAGATGCAGTATTCCTCAGTGGCCAATCAGATTTGGTTGTTAGGACATAGAGCATCCTCAGGAAACTTAGATGATATAAAACAGGGAAAGCAGTCAACATGTTGGAGGGCAGGGCTACCATTCAGAGGGACCTCAACAAACTGGAGGAAGTGGTCAACAGGAACTTAATAAAGTTAAACACAAACAAATGTAGTGGCGTGCGTCTGAGAAGGAAAAACCCTATACAGCATCACAGCTGCAGACTGGACAGGTAGCAGCTCTGCAGAAAAGGACTCGGAGACTCTGGCAGACAGCAAGTTGAATATAAGCCACCAGTGTATCCTTAAAGTGATGAAAACCATAGTTTGACCTGCATAAGCAAGAGCATAAAGAGCAGGTCAAAGAACATAGTTATTCCCTTCTTCTTGGCCTTGGTGAGGCCACATTTAGAGTGCTGTACAGTTTTGGACCATGCAGCATAGGAGGTACTGGCAAAGTGGAGCACATCCAGAGGAAGGCTGTTAAAACAGCAAAAGGGCTGACACATGAGATGAAAGACATGAGGGAGTTGTTTTTTTTCAGTCTAAAGAAGAAGAGGAGCCCACTACTGCCTTCTATGTAACAGGGAGTTACACGAAGTGTGGAGGCAGATTCTTCTCAGGCAAGGACAGCAAAAGGTCAACAGGCAACAGTCACATGATGCTGCAAGGGAAATTCCAAATAGATATAAGGAAACTCCTCACCATGAGGGTGGTTGAGCACTGGAAGGGGATGGAGATTTAACAGCATCTCCAAGCAATCTTGCAGAATTTAAAAATTTGACTCAGCAAGGCCCTAAGCAACCTGATTTAACTTTGAAGATAAAGCAGAAAATGGAGCCTCTCAATTTCCAGAGGTCCCTTCCCATCTACATTTCTCAATGATTCTACATGCTACTGCAACTGATGTTTTCACCTCTATATAGGCAGCCTATATAATCTATAAGGCATATAGTATCTTCCTGTACAGTATAGAAGATTCCATGTCCAGTTACTTTGCAGTGACAGGGGAGTCAGACACATTCAGGTAACTTTGGACATCTGAAAGATTTCAACCGCCTGAGTCATCAAGATCACCTCAGCCATAGCAGCTTTAAGTTATCACACTGTTACAGTAAAATCCATAAAAATGCTAAAAATCACTATACAGAAGTAGTACTTTGGATTCCAGGTGTTCTGAGCACTATGTATATACAGGGGATCCTTTTATCCTTGGTCAGCGCAGCTAGCTTACCCAAAGTGAAATGTTTCCTCTCACACTCTATAAAAATAAAGTTTTGTTCTTCAGCAGCTGGTATTAATATTTGAATGTATCGACCAGCAGCTGAAAAGCTGCTTCTCGACACTGACCAATGCTGAAACAACTACAATCTATATGTTAAGTAACCGTATAGGGCAGATCTTTTAAATACAAATGCTATACCCTAAAAAATTTGTATCAGGAAAAGTAGGTAATCTGGCTGCTTTCATTTTCCATTAAGATCAGAGTGAACAAGAAACTGCCAAGCCCAAGGCTTATTTTACACACTAACTTTGAATGATCAGGAAGCAAGTTAAGATTAATGGTGCTAACTTATTAACTCAAAATTAAAGGAGCTCAGAACTGACTGAAAAGAGAACATCCCATAACAAAAGGAAAAAAGCTAAGGCAAAACTGCAAGGTGTTTTCAAAAAGGAAGGCGAACAAACCAGATTCTTTCATCTTCCAAGACTAAATAAAGAGCAAGGAACAAGACTACCCCTGAGTACACAGAGACTGAAATCCTAGGACATAACTCTCCCTCCCTGATTTTAGCTGTCTCTAGCAGATATCAAATGGTCAAACAACTCATCTGTGCTGCTTAATTTTATCAGTCCCCTTTTGAGTTGCATAACTTACTTTCCCAATCCAGCTTCTATCATGAAAAGCTCTTCTATGCAGGCTAGAAAAGAGAGATCCCTCAGATTCAGTGTAATCACACTGGCTGCTCACATCCCTTAAGTTTATAAATTAAGACTAGACATCCTCTTAAAAGACACTGCTCTATCACAAAAATTACATTTGACGCGAGATTTGGTAACATTTTTCAGCTCATATAAAGCATGTAGTAATGCTCATTATGAGATCCATGTTGAATTTATAATAGCACGTGTGTTCCATGTTACAAGTTATAAATTATGATGACATACTTTATATCAATCAAGATGCTCATGAATATTAAAATAAATAAGTTGAACAATTGAAATTATTTTGAAGGATTTGCGTTTCTTATTTCAAAGAACAAACTATGTTTATCAACCAATAAAATGAGGAAAAGCAGTCTGAATAAGCGTTCTGTATGCACAGCTACCAAAATACCAGAGGCGTTTTTTTCCTTTTAAGTTGTATTTAGAGGAAGAATCTATTTGAAATATAAACATCCATCAGATTTTATAAGAAGAAAAAACCCAAAGACAACTGTCCCCGTATCACATGGAGACATGAAAAGTGCCACCATGCAATCCGAACAATGATACACCAATACATGAAGCTGTATGAATATGGTACATGGTTAGCACTACATTTTGAATTCTTCCCTGTATGAAACATGTAACTAGTGAGAACCTATTCTTGCAGTGAAAACATTGCCAAGAGCTACGTCTAAGATAAAGCTGATTTTACAGTATGTGAACTTTAGCTTCCCAAATATGACAAGAAGAAAAATCTGAATGCTAAGTATTTGCATTACTACCATAGATGAATATTAGTTTAGAAGCAAAAAAAATAATCTCTAGCTGAAATCTTCTCTACGCAAGTAAGA